GCATTCTGAACAAATAGCAACTGTGAATCATGTAATCAGTTGCCTCTTAAAGACATCAATGGTTATCTTTAATTTATTTAGTTAATGATATTAATTCATAGATATGTTCGTTTGCTGCTTGTAGTTTCTTTTCGTCTATATCTATGTAGAATACTGGATTTTGTGTAACTTGCATGCTGTCTTTCAGGATTATGAGTCAAATCCGTATGGTGATTTCTGCTTGGATAAACGCTTCTAGTATTTCCTTATTGATTCTTCCTTCCACTTCATACTATTAAGAATAAGAGATCATTGAAGTCAACTACTTTGTAGTGACCTAGGAAGAGTAGTTTTAAGTTCTCCCTGTGCATTGGTTTCTTCGTTTGGAATAGAACCTTTTAAACTATTGAAACTAAAACGCACATCCCGAAAGTGATTCTAGTTTTTTTGGTAATTCTGGTATCTGTGGCCTTTGTTGTTTCTCTCAAACAAGGACGCTAGAAATAGGAGTTAGATACTGTTTTTGAGCTTTCTATTTCTGTCCATTCCTCTGCATTCTTCCACGTGCATCTAAAAATCACCTTTCATTCAGTTTTTACCTTATTAAGCAATTGCTTTCCTTATTTTTCTGTGCTTCCGTTTACCTTCCCTTCATCTGCCTGTGTGAACCACCTCCATCTTCGTAACAAACTCAATTCCCAGTTGGGTTTCTTCCATCGTATATTAGAAGAGGTGAATTGTCACTTGTTTTGATATCACTAGAAAGAAGTATCCAATCTCTCTCTCTCTACTTGTAGAGGAGGAAGAGGGAAGATTGAAATAAATTAGAAAGCTTTGCAATTTCCCTCATTCCCTAGGAACTCCACCAATGGCGAAGAACGTCATGAAATTGAGTTCTTGGGTTGAGGTTGCTCCAATTCTCATCACTTACCGACCGAAACCCTCTACCATCCCATCGTTGGAACCCATTGTCGAAGAAGATGTTGCAGAGGAATATGATGATGAGGATTCATAAACCCATTTCATTCATTAGTTTTTGCAGTTTCAGTTCCCTTTTCTATTTATTCATTACTAGTTCTCATAGTTTCAATCCTTTTCTTGTGAATAGAAATCCGATTCAGATGATCTGATCGTATGCCTTGCATCTCTGTTTGAAATGCAACTGTTGCAATGGCTGATTTCACTCGCAGGTTCTAAAGAGATTGAAGCATCGCAGAACAAAACAAGTGTAAAGATGATGGGGAAAAAGGTTGTATTTAATAAACATTTTCTCCCAAACCGAGCCAACAACCCCCAATATTGTTGGAATTCCAGGTCATTCCGTTCCCATTATGTTGTTTCACATGGTTTAGTTTATTGAGCAGAGTTTGTATGTGGAAAAAAAACAAATCTTTTTCACATGTGATGAAAGCCATGGGCGTAATTGTTTACTTCCCATGTGGTTTGGTTTGTTGACCCACTCGGTTTTACCCCTTTTTATAAGTAAGAACTCCACTCCCCACTTCCCCCATCAAAGCCGATCATCTTCACACTTCTCTCAGAACCAGAGCTCGGTTCGGCCGATTGTTCGTGTTCCCGTTTCGAGGTAGGATCAGGCTTCATTTCTGGGTTTAAAACAATGTGTGAGAAGGTTCAGATTCTGAGTTGGATGGAGAAAGCACCAGCTTTGTATGTTCTCCCAAACAGGGCGTCTGTGTGCCCTGCTTTGGAGACCATTACAGAAGAGGAAGAAACAGAGGATTGCAATGAGAAAGAAGGGTCGTAGTCTTTTCTTTCCTTCTCTCTCTCTATTCTGCCCATTTTAGAACTGTAGTTTGCAAAGGTGTAATATCTATTCAATTATAAAATTTGAGCCTTCTTATTCTTGCTTGTTTCTCTTTAATCCTTGCGCACTTTTGGTGCTGTTCAATTTTATTTTGGAGGATCAAGTAGAAGAAAATGATGAAATGCAGAATTATTTAAGAAATTAAATAATTATAAAACGGGTCTAAATAAAGCTTTTAGACATTTTATGCTGAAAAAGTTGCTTGCTTCGAAATAGTATATCGAAAATTTCATGTAGTCCCACTAAAAAAATTCTTGGTAGGGGAAGGGGTCACTCTTTAAAATATCCTTTTGAGAACGGGGAAGGGGTCAGATTTATCTAACGAGAGTACAAGTAGTAATAATGTTTATAATACTTAGTAATAATGTTTATAATGCTGCATCGTATATAAAATAATACAAAAGAAAAAAAGATAAGGACTTCAATATATATAAAATAATACGAAAGAAAAAAAGATAAGGACTTCAATATATAAAAAATAATACGAAAGAAAAGAAAAAAATGATATAAAATAATAGGGGAATTGATATAGTAATTGATATGTTCCAATTCTAAATAAGTTTCTATCGGAGATGCAACTACTTACAAGTTGGTCAAATCTTTCCTAACATATTTTGTTATCTTTGGGTCATTCTTTAGGCTAGGTCTCTTAGACCCTTCACTTTCGAATTGGAGCTTGCATACAATTGACACTAAACCCCAAACATATCCTTGGGAATTCGAGTTTCACTAAACCTAAAATTTTAATTTTATATTTAAAAGATCAATTAATATTTCATAAAAAAAAATTAAATTTGTCAAGGATGCATTAGTTTGGAAAGTTTATAGATCATACAAATACAAATTTTAAAATGTAGAGACTGTTCAGGGTTTAGCGATTTTAAAATGTAGAGATTGTTTAGAATTTAAGGGTTTTAAAATGTAGAGACTGTTTAGGGTTTAGAATTTGGGGTTTAGGGGTTTTAAAATGTAAAGACTGTTTAGGGTTTAGAATTTGGGGTTTGGGGTTTAGGGGTTTTAAAATGTAAAGACTGTTTAGGGTTTAGAATTTGGGGTTTGGGGTTTAGGGGTTTTAAAATGTAAAGACTGTTTAGGGTTTAGAATTTGGGGTTTGGGGTTTTGGGTTTTGGGGTTTTAAAATGTAAAGACTGTTTAGGGTTTAGAATTTGGGGTTTGGGGTTTTGGGGTTTGGATTTAGGGTTTAAAGAGGTTCATGGCCAAGGGCAAAGATGAGTAACAGCTATTTTGGAATGTACTCAAAATGGTGTTAATAAAGAATCCGTGGGAATTTTCAGAATCTACACACTATGCCTAGTCGATTGGAATTGAGAAAATTCTGTCCCCGTTGCTACAAACATACAATTCATGGGGAGATAAAAAAATAGATCGAACCAAATGTCACCCTTTTCCTATCCAAGGAAGATGCAAAATTACATATATTAAACATATATTAGATTTAAATATAAATAAACCAAATCCTATTTCTTAATTCTAAATTACTTTAGGTCGATCGAAATAGGATTTTCGAGATAAGGAATAAACAAACCCTTAAATCCAAACATCTTTTAGCAGGCGCGACTAAACTAGTATGACATGACTAAACGAGTTATGATGGCCAACGACATCTCGAGTCTCGAGATGGCGTTAAGACATATGGACCCTGTCGATGGGGATCGAGATGACAAGATGAGATGCGACATTGCATTGAGAGACCTTGGCCCGAGTAGACGCAAGGTCGAGCTGAATGACTTGGCCTAGTGTAGAGGCAAGTCGGATGTATCGTAGACGATTAAACATACACGCATAGACGGCGTGTGTGGTTGAACAAGCTTGAATTTCGCATAAGCAATATTCGATTGGCGAACTATAGACCGATTCAAAGATTTAATTTTTACAAATTCAACTAGTTCATGTAAGAAAATTCTTCAATTTCCTAAAATATTAATTATTGAGGTCAAAAGGGAGGTAAGAAAATAAGAACTCCCTACGTTGAAACACCATTTTCTTTCTAAAGAGCTTTTTATGACAATAGCGTGGGAGATACGAAATATTTGTATAAATATTTAATGTTTTGGGTCATCTTCTTCATCCATCGTCTCTCAACAAAGAGAACTAATCTGTGTGTCCTTCATTTGTTTTTTGATCTGTTAATTGCTTATGCAGCTAAGCCTCTTATTCTCCTCGTCGGACACCATTTCATCGACCACCAAGTCCATCAACATCTTGGGAGCCTCTCTCCCTCCCTCTCCCAAATTAGAGTTATGAACTAAATAAATGAAACTTATTGTTGGTCACAACTTATAACAATTAAAACTTTTCTCAACAGTAGATGTGTTTTAAAACATTGTCGAAAAGTCCAAAGAATACAATATCATTAGTAATGGGCTTATGATATGCGAGGTGTAACGGGCCTAATTGCACCTTGGGATCGAACTCGTGCGGCTGTTGCAAAGGCACCCATATTAGGTAAAGGGGAAGTTGAAGGATACCATAAAAGGATCCATAAAAAGTTCAAGAATAGTAAGAGGCAATATGCAGGCTGCCATCCAATCGTTTCCCCCACGCCTCTTTCCATTTCATTACACTATATATACAGACACAAACACAAAAACACAAACACAAGGAAAACCAAACAAATCGGTTCATACAAATCAAACACAACCAAAAAAAAGTTGCAGAGAAATTTGAGGTGGAAAATGGGGAAGAAATCAGTAAGAAACTTGAGGGGTTTGATCAATGAAGTTGCTCCATCTCCCATCATTTCACCCAACAAACCCTCCACCGTTCCTTCATTGGAACCCATCACAGAAGAAACCCCAGAGGATCAGTACGATCAAGACGCCTAAACTCCTCACCCCCACCAGATCTTGGCAGTTTCTTGTCGGACACATCTTGGCAGCTGTTCTTCTTCATAACCAGCTCCTTTAGTTTATCCATTATCACAACGTTGATGTACATATTACTTCAAAAACTTCTCTTTTTGTAAATATAACTATGTATATATGTGTATATATACTGTGTCATGAATTTGATTATATCAAATATTCATGATTTGCTTCTTTTTTTCTGTCCCAAATTATTATCAATTTCAGATCTAACTCCAAAGTTGAGATGAGTTATGAAATTATGGGTTAGATTCAATTCAACTAAATGAAATCTTTATGAATTTGATTCAACTCAGACTTTTCAGACATCATAAACAAAACTACAACTAAAAGTCTCGATTAAACAAGATTAAAACGTAGTTTAGCACAAAAATGAACTCGGAATTACATAATTGGAAGTGGAAAACAGAGACATAAGCAAAAGTAAAGAACACATTTTTCATTTTGATCCTAGAAACGAGATTTGGATAAGATTTATAGGGCGGAGGAAGTTTTGAATGATCCAAGAGCTTTAACAGCTCCTGCTCTAATTATGACTTGATGATAAATTGCAGCAATGGCAGCTCCGACGAACGGCCCAACCCAAAAGATCCACTGTTCAAAACAACCAAACATCAGAGACGATCTGTAAAACAGAGATCTAAATGCTTAAACAGAAAAGTTGGGGAAGAAAGTTACATGATGATCCCAGGCCTCCGTTCTGTTATAGATCACTGCAGCTCCAAAGCTTCGAGCTGGGTTGATGCCGGTGCCGGTGATCGGAATGGTGGCTAAATGAACTATAAACACCGCGAATCCAATTGGGAGTGGCGCCAAAACCTTGAAAATTTGAGACAAAATTAGTTCAATGGTAAACCCAAACAAAACTCAAAACTAACTAACTTACAGGGACGTGAGAATCTCTGGCGTTTCTCTTGGGGTCGGTGGCGGAGAAGACTGTGTAAACAAGAATGAAAGTTCCGGCGATCTCTGCGGCTAAGCCGGTGGTGATGCTGTACCCATCGGCGAGTATATTGGTTCCACCTCTGTAGCGAACGTAATAAGCCTTCTGGAATGATTTAGCCAACGCACACCCACAAATGGCGCCCAAACATTGAGCCATAATGTAAAACACAGCTCTGATTAGGGAGATTTTTCGAGCCAAGAACAGCCCAAATGTCACCGCCGGGTTAATATGCCCTCCTGTATGGTTCAACAAAAAGGGTAATCGGACAGAGTAAACAGAGAGAAAGGGGAAAAAAAACAGAGCAAGAGAAGAAAACTAAACTCGCCTGAAATTCCAGCGGTGCAGTAAACAAGAACGAAGATCATTCCGCCGACGGCCCAGGCAATGCCCAAAACGCCGACGCCGCCGCAGACATTGGTGGCGGACTGGGTGTCATAGCCAATCACAGTGAGAACAAGAACGTACAAGAACAGAAGCGTGGCGACGAATTCGACGGTGATAGCTCTGTAAAATGACCACTGAGTGAACTCCCCGGCGTCAATTAACGGGGCGGGCGGCGGGTCTTGGTAGTCCTTGGCGGTGGCGGCTAACCCACCATTGCTTCTGCGCTCAAACACAGTGTTAGACGACATTGCTCCTGCTGTCTTGGAAGCAGAGGAGAGTTACGTTGGAAGGTAGTGCTTCAAATATTGAATTGGTGATATATTTAAAGCTAAAAAAAATTAAAAAAAAATATTCCTATATTTTCAAAATAACAATATTACATTCATTTTGCCTGAAATTAGTTCTACTTTATCGGGATCGTATGAATTGAATCATATTTGATTTTGTTTCGAAATTTATTTGCTATAATTAGAAATCAATATTTTGAGGTTCATTTACAAATATATCCCCATTTACATGCCACCTATTATTTAACAAGGAAATAATAATAATTAATTATTATTATTATTATTATTATTATTTTGATGCAAGATTCATGCCACGTTTCTTCCTTCTTACGAAAAATCATGCCCCATTTGCATGCCATCTATTATTTAGAAACAAAAAATAATAATAATTATGAAAAATAAAACAGTTAGTAATATATGCAACAATTCTCAATAATACCATTCAACTATTTCAAAAGTATTAATTTTGGATGTAATTTTGGTTTATAAAATAAAATTTTAAAAATTTCCTTACAACTTTTAAAATTTTGATTTTTTCAATATAGTTATCTTGAGTTCCAAATAAATTTACGTTTTCTAAACATAAAAAATATGTTTACCATTTTAAAAATGTTTTTTTTATATATATTTTTAAAGTAACTTTTGAATATTTAAAGATATAAATTTTTTTAAATAAAGTAATAATTCAAGATTTTTTTTATTTTTATTTTATTAATTTGGTCTAAATTTTCAATTAATAAAGTATTCATAAGTTATTCCTTCCATAATAATATGTCGTGCAAAAGTATATATTTGTGGGACTTTTTTGAATTTGTAGGTAGAACTAAAAACGATTTACGATTTAGAGTTTAGGGTTGTTTTATTAAAATTTTACTATGGTAAGCAAAAATTTACCATCTAAATAATTGGAGTCTCAAAAACACTTCAACCCAAACTAACTCGACCCATGAACATCTTATATTTTAAGTGGGTGTAAATATTTAAGAATGCACAACATATATAGTAAATATATGACTTTATAATCATGTTTGATGCTCGTGAAGTCTAATAATGACATGAAAATCTATTTGGCATTAACGGATAACTTGGTCAAAATTTTCGAAAAAAATTATATACTTTGCATAAAATATATGAGAAATATTGTTAGATTTTTCCTTCTTACTCTCAAGATTTTTAAAATGTGTCTAGCAGGCGAGGTTTACAGACTGATGTTTCGTTCTTCTTTCGACTAATGTGAGATTTCATAATTAACCCCTTCATGACCCAGTGTCGTACTCGTTCCTCTTTACAATTGTGAGATCTCACAATCCACCCACCTTTTGGGCCAAGCGCTCTCCCTAGCCCTCGTTACTCTCTTGCTAGCTATTATTATTCCTCTGGTTAATTTAGGGGTGATCTCAGAAAGTAATCCATATTATATGATTATAATTATAGGCATGACCCAGTTGATTCGATCGAACTTTGCATTAAAACATAGACAATTACATAATCGGAGGCCAGAAACAGAGGAAAAGGTAAAGAAAATACAGCAATTGGATTGATGGATAGAAGGCACACATAAAAACCAGTGCCTTTGGGAATTTGGGTAAAGAAAATTCACACTTATTTTGGCCCAAACGCAGAGCAACAGAGATTTGTATTATTAGATTTAAACGGAGGTGGAACTTCTGAACGATCCCAGAGCTTTAACTGCCCCTGCTCTCAGTATGATTTGGTGATAAATTGCAGCAATGGCAGCTCCAATGAAGGGGCCAACCCAAAAGATCCACTGCTCAAACACAAAGCAAAACAAATGAGCTTCAATTACAGAAAACAATCTTATAATAGAGCAGGATTAGGGGAAAATATGAAGTTAGTTACCTGGTCATCCCATGGCTTGTCTTTGTTAAAGATCACGGCGGCTCCAAAGCTTCGAGCTGGGTTGATGCCGGTGCCGGTGATTGGAATGGTGGCCAAATGAACCATAAACACCGCGAACCCAATTGGGAGTGGCGCCAAAACCTTCAATTTTGAGTTGGAAAAGGGTTAGTTTAATGGATTAAGCTCCCAGCTGAACTCAATTTGAGGCATTGAATGAACTTACAGGAACGTGAGAATCTCTGGCATTCCGTTTGGGATCGGTGGCGGAGAAGACGGTGTAAACAAGAACGAAAGTTCCGATGATCTCTGCGGCTAAGCCGGTGCCGGTGCTGTACCCATCGGCGAGTGAATTGGCTCCACCGCCGTACTCATTGTAATGAGCCTTCTGGAACGATTTCACTAAAGCACACCCACAAATGGCGCCCAAACATTGAGCCGCCATGTAAAGAATTGCTCTAACCAAAGACACTTTCCGAGCCAAAAACAACCCAAAAGTCACCGCTGGGTTAATGTGGCCTCCTGCAAAGTTCAACAAAAAAGGCAACTTTTTTACCAACGGACAGAGTTAACAGAGAGAGAAAAACAGAGCAAAATAAGAAAACTAAACTCACCGGAAATTCCAGCGGTACAGTAAACGAGGACGAAAATCATGCCGCCGAATGCCCAAGCAATGCCAAGAATACCGACCCCGCCGCAGATTTGGCCGCCGTTTTTGATGTCGGACTGGTTACTGTAGCCAATGACAGTGAGAACAGTGACGTACAAGAACAAAAGCGTGGCGACGAACTCGGCGATGATGGCTCTGTAAAAAGACCATTGAGTGAACTCGTCGGCGTCGATCAATGGTGCTGGTGGTGGGTCTTGGTAGTCCTTGGTAGCGAACCCACCGGCTTCGAGATCCTTAGACATGGCTGCTGCTCCTTGTGGGTGAAATTGAAGAAGAAATGGAGGAAGGAATTGGGATTTGAAAGCAGAGGAGTTGCAGAGGGGAGTGGTGAAGGTTAGGGATGAAGTGGGGGATTTATATTCGGGGGTTCGAAACCTGAATTGATCAGTGACGGCTATAGATTATAATTAATTCAATTGTCTTATGGAACTTTCTCGCCGCCCCCATTTTGCCGACCCCATTCCATTAATTATAACATCATCCATATAATAAACATTATCTTCTACTAGAATTCTTTTCAAAAAATAAGGTTTATGTTTCAAGTAGACAATCATGCAACCATTTCAACCAAGTAGTCTGCCAAGAATGATTCTCTACAATTATAGGACTCAAGATCATTCAGCCATTAATCATACTTTAGTCACAAGGCCGTGATTCATCTACTAGACTTTGGTACATGTCTCCTTATAACTAAAAGACACGGTTATAGGACCTTACTTGAACAGAATTTGTTGTATAGGTTATACAACTGTGTCCTTAGATTCTAAAGAGACAAGAAGTAAATGAACCACTATCCTGTGACTAGAGCGTGATTAATGGCTCAATTGGCTTCAGTTCTATGGCTACGGAGGATTATTCTTCATCGTATCATTATGGAGATTTGCTGTGTCTAGAACTAACCCGAAGAACCAAAAATATATTTTCGAAGCTAAAAAAAATTAAAAAGAGAAAAAAAAAGGTTAGTGTCATATAAGTCACGTGGGAATAAGTGGGAGAGCGGTCGGCGAGAGCTGACGAGTGACTGAACCGACTAAATGAAATCCATTATACAATAAACCACCACCGTCCATCTTGAGAGAGGGTCCACCACTGTCGAAATTACGAACCAATTAAGTCGTGCCACGTAATAAACGCAATCATGGATGTTATTATAACCTCAAATTTATGGTCGGTCCAGTCAACAAAATGTTCAACGTGGAAAAAATTCTAGGAATTGCCCGAAAAATATAGAAGTTGTAAGGTTTGTGGTTCTGGATGATCCACGTGTCGAATCTTTATTGCTCATTGAAACAATTAAAAACCTTTTTTTTTTTATGGATGAAATTTTAGTGCATCATAGGGTTTGTCAGTTCATCCTTGGATGGGCGGTAGCCGTTGGGACGTCATTATAATTTTTTTCCTTTCTTTTTTCAAAAAAATAATTTTATTTGTATTTTTGTTGGATGAATTATATATACATTTTAGTTATGGGTTTGTTTAAAACTAATAATTAAATTGTGAAGGTGATAATGTTAATTATTTTATTTCTTTTTTAACTAATAATAAAATACTATTTGAGTTTGTATGGTTGGATGAAAGTACTGGAGTTATATTAAGGAATATTCTCTCCATTGGTATGAGACCTTCTTAGAAGCCCAAAGCAAAACCATAAAAGCATCATATAGTTATGGAGAGTCGTGTTCATCTAACATGGTATCACCATGTCAATAGAATCTTTAAATGTTGAACAAATAACTCCAAAAGAAAAGGAGTCGAGCCTCAATTAAGGGGAGGCGTACTTTGTTCGAGGGGCGGTGTTGGATGAAAGTCCCATCTTGGATGAGGCCTTTTGGAAAAGTCCAAAACAAAGTCATAAGAGATGTGTTCATCTAACATAGTATCAGAGTCACCTCGACCTTGTTCCTTATTTATATATATATGTAACTTTATAAATTATATATATTTTATAATTTTTTAATATAAATTATATTGAAAAATGAAAATTAACCGTTAAAATTTATTTAAAAAGAAGAATATTATAATTTTAAAATATACTTTATTTATTTATTATTATTATTATTTTGTAATTCTAGATGCCTGTGTTTTTTATATTAAATAATAAATACTATTTATTTATTATAAAAAAAACCAATATTTAATCAGATTCAAACAAACCCATAAAGATAAAATTAGACAATAATTAAGTTCATTAACTACTTTTAACATGGTTGGATACGTGCTTATATATAAACAACATCATGAGATGTTAAGTAATTATATAGAACACAGAAAGCAAAATTAAAACCAAATAGGCATTTTTTTTTGCCAATTATTTAACACGACGGCGCCCATTAATCAGGAGCTTGTAAATGATTATTTAACACGGCGGCGCCCGTTTATCAGGAGCTTGTGAATGATCCCAGAGCCTTGCCGGCGCTTGCTCTTAATATGAACTGATGGTAAATTGCAGCAATGGCAGCTCCGATGAAGGGTCCGACCCAAAACATCCACTGTTCAAACATGCCAAACGTTAGATATATACATATATTATATATTACTTCAAATCTAGAATGAACAGCAAATTGGTTTTGTATGTACTTGATCGTCCCATGGCTTGGATTTGTTGAACACCACTGCAGCTCCGAAGCTTCTAGCTGGGTTGATGCCGGTGCCGGTGATCGGAATCGTGGCTAAGTGAACCATGAACACCGCGAACCCAATTGGGAGTGGCGCCAAAACCTTTCATTTTGAATTTATAAGCCATTAATTTCTGGTTTTCTAATCAGTTTTGTTGGGTTTCAAATTTCTTACCGGAACATGGGAGTCTCTGGCATTTCTCTTCGGGTCGGTGGCGGAAAACACAGTGTAAACGAGAACGAAGGTTCCGATGATCTCGGCGGCTAATCCGGTGCCGGAGCTGTAACCGTCAGCGAGCGAATTGGCTCCACCGCCGTACTTAATGTAGTGGCCGTTTTGGAATGCCTTCACTAACGCACACCCACAAATGGCGCCCAAACTCTGCGCCGCCATGTATAATACGGCTCTCACCAACGACACCTTCCGAGCCAAGAACAGCCCAAATGTCACCGCCGGATTTATGTGTCCCCCTGCGTATCCCCCAACAATATTCAGTAACAAAAAATTAAATTAATCATGCCCTATTTGATTCGTTGAACTCACCGGAAATACCGGCGGTGCAGTAAACGAGTACAAAAATCATGCCGCCGAAGGCCCAAGCGATGCCCAAAATGCCGACGCCGCCGCAAATCTGGCCTCCATTGTCAACATCACTCTGAACTTTATACCCAATGACAGTGAGAACAGTGACATACAAGAACAAAAGGGTAGCAACAAACTCGGCTATAATGGCTCTGTAAAATGACCACTGAGCAAACTCCTGTGCGTCGATCAATGGCGCTGCCGGCGGGTCTTGGTAATCCTTGCCGCTAAACCCACCACGCCCTCCGGCTTCAATATCCTTCGACATGCTTCAAACAAGAAATTTAAATCTGGGAAACTGATTGCTTCGAAAAACAGAGCAGAATTTGCAGATTGAGGATGAAAAACAGAGGAATGGGAATGTAGATTTATAGTGGGAGAAGGAGGAGTGGATTGAAGACTGGAAATTTCAGGATCGTGAAAAGTTTATGGTGTTCTTGCGCCGCCCCATTTTGTTCTGTTCTTTTCTGTTGCTTTTCGTGAGCTCTCTCACTGCCACTCACAGGCAGCGGGCGGCGCTTCTTCGCTTTTCTTGTCGTTTCCTTTCTGGTAGGTTCTTGAAACTAGTCGGTAATTAATTAATATTAAGCTTTTAATTATTTCGGTTTAATGTGTTCTATCTTCTTCGAATGTTTTAGGTTTAATTATTCCATTTCATATCAAAATTTGGATTAGTTGCGTAATTATTAACTTAAGCGCTGGTTTATTATAATACATTATCTATTCTATTTTAGGTTTATTATAATACATTATCTATTTCTATTTTACATTAGAATGTTAACTTATTAAAAATTTATTAAACACATGAACGCGAGTCGAGAGACTTGAAGTCGGCCTCAACTTATATTGCTGAGTTTGCGAAGAGTCGATGGACAGAGACGTCAACCATTTGTATGACCAATCGTCAAAATCATGTTTATGCCCGTTTAGAGCTAGAATGTCGTGGAGTATAGGAGATGCGAGTAGTACAATTTAGAATTAAATAAGTAATTTAATTTTTAAAAAATAGAATAAATTGAAAGTTTAATAAAGTGTGATTGTTATTTATTATTATGATTATTTTAAAATAAAATGGTCCAATAATGAAAAATAATTCATTATTTGTAATATTGTGGAGTTGGTGTACGTATTAGGCGAGGAATCCCGGCTGAAGGATACAGTCACGTGCGAGTAAGTCGTTGAGGCATGATTGAAACGACCAATCAAATCAATATCCACCGTCCATCTCCAACTGGGCCCACTCCTTCTTTTATTTCCCCTTCTCCGCATTGCCTTTTTATATAAAAACAAAATATCAAATTTTTAATGGCATTATTAAAAAAAAAAAAAATTAATAAAACAGGTTGTGGAATAGAAAAGAAAAAAAAGTTGTGGCTGTTGATTTCCCACGTGTCATGCCAAGTAATTTTACTCGTTTTATCGAATTTAATTCATTTTCGTTGATATATTTTAAAACTATTTTTAATTTTGAAGGGATATTAGAAATTTTCTCTCCCAAATAAGAAAAAAATGTATAATTTCATTCAACAGATAAAATTTATATTGTAACATATAAATACATCGATCCCATTAGATATAGGTCGAGAAAAATTTATGAACATTTTGTCCACACAAAAGGGGTAGGAGACTAGGAATTTACAAAGCATTTGTACTAACTCGAGAAAATAATAAAATGATAAATGATAAATTATGACTATGCATCATTCAATTAACATCCTAAATAATTCAGAAGCGACAGAGAGAAATCATAAAAATTAATTTGTGTATGGTTTTTTCATTGGCTCCAATGAGAGAGGGAAAAGTAGTAACCTTCAATGCACCTCCTGCTCCTGTTTCCCACTAGTTTTAGCATCATCCTGAATCTCCTTCCCATGCTTCGTTTCATACAGATGTTTCGATTCCTCCAGCTGCTTGGACACCTAATCATTAAGAAAAAACCAACCAACAAAATTCAAACTCGAAATCTTCCAGAAATAAAGCAAAACACGTTCTACTATGTCGAGTCAGCATATTTTGATCATAAAAGATGAGATCTTTGAATGGAAATGAACGGAAAATGGAAGCTTCTAACTAATAAGATGAATGTGGATTTTATCACCCTTTTGAACAAATCAACATTAAGTGATTGTTACTACCTATTTTTTATTTTACTCTAAATTTGGGTACCCTGATTAGATTAAATACTTCATTCATCAGATTCTCAAATCAAATAACACAACGTAGAGATGAACATGTGAAACTGCCAGACCAAATACTGATGTGATGACTTACAACGCATTGATTAACAAGTTCCTTATTTGGTTTAAATTCGATGATGAAGAGTTCAGCAAATTCAGATTCATTACAATCATGCATACGCAACAATTGAAATATTAATTTTCATGGTTGCCAAGCTGGGGCTTGGGGAGGGGGGTGTAGATAGAAAGGGACGTACTTTAATTGAGTAAGCCATGGGCAATAATGTATCTGGATCCATTGCATCTTCTGGGAAGTTTCGCAAAGCATGTATGAGTTTTTCAAAGGGCAACTTTACCTGCGGAAAAAAAAAAAACAATATTAGGATCTAGCAACAACGTAAATGTGGACGCCGAAACTATTTGAAGCAATTCATAACTCACCAAGTCATCATGGCAATATTTTAGAAGAGCCAAACCAACTTTAAAAACAATCGTAACACCCTGTGGTAGAAGACATTAATAATAAGCGTGAACTTCTTTATAGAAGAATTGTGTTGCAGAAAAGGATGCATATGATTTCAAGTAACCAACCTCATAAAGAAAGACATCCCAAATTCGTAGAGCCAAATGGAAGGGGAAAGAGTAAGAGAAAACGGTAATAAACCATTGGCTCGCGTACATGCTAGGATTTATCATTTCCTGTGTAAAATGCTCTCCAAGCTTGGGCAGCTGCTCTCTCACAAGGTTATCAAATTGAAATAGGTACTGCTGCACTAGAGGAAGCCCCGCCTATCCCAAGAAAAAAAAAAAAAAAAAAAA